GCCTACCCGGAGGGGATAGTCTCAAGCTCAGCCGTTAGCATTGGACTCCCCTGGATGGACTCACGGCCTGGGTCCATGAAGAAGGGGGACAACAGAGTCTCCCCAAGGGAGAGCAGGGTCACTTTCCAAGAGGGGGCTCAGCCATGCGAGGGGCTGAAGGAAGGCCCCAACTCCGCGGCCGAGGGCCAGAAGAGCAGCGTCATCCCTGACAACATTCGCCACAAGTTTGGGAGCGACGTGGTGGACCAGCTGGTCTCCGAGGAGCAGGTGCCAGCACAGGGCCCAGGAGGCCCAGGGCGGCAGGAGGGTGGTTCAGGGAGACTTATAACGAGACCCCACAGGAGCCTATTCTTGAGAACAGAGTTCCTGTAATGATGTCACCAGGAAGCAGTGTTTACTGAGCACTTACTATGTGCCAGGCCCTGTGCGCTGTGTAAGCGCTTCACATCCAACAACTCAGAAAGCTCCCATTATCCTCATCTTAAGGGGAAGGGGCCCCAGGCTCAGGCAGGGCTAGGAAAGATCATCAAACGTACCCAGCTGTGTGGGATGAGCACCCGAAATGGGCCAGCAGATTCTGGAGCCCGAGTCCTCAATGCTGCTGCAGTAACAAGTCTTAGGTTTGAATTAGAGACTTTTAACTCACACGGATCCAAAGGGGACAGCATTGGGTAGACAGCTCTGATCGGGAATCAGGAGACTTGGGTTTGAGTCCCGGCTCTGCCAGGAGTGCTGGGTGGCTTTGAATAAGTTCCTTCCCCTCTCTGGGCTTTAGTCGCTACACCTGTAAAGTGAAGCAGTTGGACTGGATCCCGCTGGCAAATACCTGGCGTGCATCCCACAGCGCTCCTGGTCTGCGTGCATGGCAGACATCATTAATCAATGCTGGCACCTCCTCTCTCTCTCCCCCCCCCCCCCACACACACTGTTTTGGGGAGTTGTTACTGACCCATTGAAAGTTGAGATAAAATTCACCTGCCATTTTCTGGCCAGACACTAAGGGTTTTTCCTGCTTTGGCATTCTGAGACATTTTCAAAGCCACCTTCTCAACACTCCTAGCAACTACATTGTGCGGTAGGCTGGGCAGGAGCTGTTGCTGCTTTTTAAAAATTTAATAAATTTTTATTGATTTTAAAGAGAGGAAGGGAGAGGGAGAGAGAAACATCAATGATGAGAGAGAATCCTTGATCGGCTGCCTCCTGCATGCCCCCTACTGGGGATCAAGCTCACAACCTGGGCAAGTGCCCTGACCGGGATTCGAACCATGACCTCCTGGTTCATGGGTTGACACTCAAGCATTAAGCCACACCGGCCTGGCGATGGCTTACTTTTTAACAGGTGGTAAAACCAAGGCTCAAAAAGTGCTATAATCTGCCCAGGGCCATACTGAGCCAATGGCAGATCCAGACTCACCAGGCTGTGGGCCCGGTCCCCTTCCATTTGTCATCTTACGGAGCAGCGAGCCTACCCCTGTGGCTGAAGTGGGACTCAAATCCAGGCTTCCTGGCTCCTAGGCCTGGGCTCGACCTTTCTGGGCCTCAGTTTCCACTTTGGTACAAGGCAGGGTTGGTTTTCATGCAATCAGAGGAGCCTCCTAGAGCTGCCTAGAGTGATGCCTCGATCCCAGGAGGCCAGCCAGGCTCTGTCCCCAGCAGTGTGGGCGGCGAGTCCCCATCCTGAGCCCCCGCTTCCTCATTTCTAAAACAGCAGGAGAAATGTCACCTTATGGAGACCTCTCCTGACGAGGCACACAGTCGGTGCTCAGCGCAGGAAGAGGTTTATGGTCACCGTCATCTGATGTCCCCGCCCGGGTGGGAGGTGGGGTGAATGAGAGGGAGGAGGGTCCTTCAGCATCAGCTCCGCAGCCCTGGGGGTTGGTTGAGGGCTGCAGGCTAAGGGGGGAGCAGGCGTGGTGAGGGCAGGGTCAGGGGAGTTAAAGGGGAAATAGAGGAGCTGGACCTGCTTCTCTATCCCGTGTCTCCTCTCCGTCCCTCCCTGCTCAGGCTCGAAATGCCATTGGCGAGGCCGTCGAGGGCCAGAAGAGGGCAAGCTCATGGCCCAGCAGGCGCCAGAGTCCCGCGGAAATCGCCTCCATCTTCTCAGACTACTACGATCTGGGCTATAACATGCGGTCAAACTTGTTTCAAGGTCAGGTCAAAGAGCAAGGGTGGGGGCCGTGAACACCCACGGTCCCCAAGGGGCAGGGAAGGCCTCTGGGATGTCTACCCCTTCCCGGGCCTCCATGGATCCGACCCTAGGATACATCCCAGGGGTATCATTCCCGGCCGCCGGCCTGCTCTTTGCCAGCGTCCAGGGCCCTGGCAAGCCTGCCCTCTCCGTGCAAGTCATCCATCCCAGTTGGCTGTCAGCTCCTCCCTCCCCCAAGCACCTCTAGCGTCCTAACTGCCAAGACCCAGGCACCCCCGGCCTGGGCATCTTTGGTCGCAGTGACACCAGGTTTCTGGTTCAAAGCTCAGCTCAGCAACGTGCTGGGTGTGGCCTCATGTAGGATCTTTAACCTCTCTGAGCCTCCGCCATCACCTGCTTGGTCCGATGGGGACAACACGGTAACGTGGCCTCACTGGGTGGGCAGGACTCCGAAGGCGCTGGGCCAGTGACAGGCAGTGAGTGCTCAGTAGCGGGAGGGCTGGTGTTTTTCCTTCCCGGACCTGGTGGTGGCGCTGCCCGGGGAAATGGGTCAGCCCTGGGCCGTTCGGTACAGGGGTGCTGCTGGCTCCCTTTCGCAGACAGGCCGGAAACAGTTTGCCAGGACCTCTCAGCGGTAGGAAGTGCATCTGAAGCTCACATCCAGGTTTTCTGCTGCCTCCGAGCCCCAGAGTCTTCCCTGAGCCCTGAGTCCCCTCCCTCCCTATGACCCTGAGCCCAAGCATTAACTGAACTGCTCCGATGGGGTCCATGGCCAGCACTCAGGCTTCCGGCTGCCCCCACGGTCCAGTTCTGCCTCAGTCCAAAACGTCAAGTTTTTCTGGCCCTCTCCCCCCTCCTGCCTTGCTCCAGGGCCTCTCCCTGTCCCGGGAGCCGGCACAGCTCCTCACCTGGCTCAGATCCCTGTTACCCAGGGAACCAGACAGCCACGGCAACTTTCCGGGTTTTCCTTGGAGCTTAGAGAAGGGGTGGTGCTGGGGGAGGGGAGAGAGAAGACAGCTCAGATTGTCCTGTGTTCTGGGCCTCAGCAGTTAGCCTTCCACGGGTCCCTTTAACAAGCCCTCACCCGCCCAGTACTTCTTTTATTTTTTAAAAAATATATTTTATTGATTTTTACAGAGAGGAAGGGAGAGGGATAGAGAGTTAGAAACATCGATGAGAGAGCAACATCGATCAGCTGCCTCCTGCACAGCCCCTATTGGGGATGTGCCCGCAACCGAGGTACATGCCCTTGGCCGGAATCGAACCTGGGACCCTTCGTCAGCAGGCCGACGCTCTATCCACTGAGCCAAACTGGTCAGGGCCACCCAGTACTTCTTACATGCAACCTCATACAGGAACGTCTACAGAACTGTCAGAGAATAGTGTAAAGAAAGTCTGTGTACCCATCATCCCGTCTGAGCAAAACACCAGTGTGTGTCGTAGTAGCAGCTCCTAAGATTCGATTGTGAAATCTTCCTGGACTGACTGAGGGGTAGCACAGTGCCGTCTTACCACTGGCCATGGTAGGCCTTATACTCCAGAAATTGGGCAAGTGCCGCGAATTCGGGTGTCACCCTTAGCACACAGCTGTCAGGGTGCTGCCCCCGGCACCCTCTCCATCTCCACCCTCCAGGTTGGCCTCTGCCCTTGCTGTTCCAGGTGGGCGAGGCCCCTGTGGCTGGAAGGAGTAAGGGAGGAAATGGGGGGTGGGGCGGGGAAGGCCATGGAAGGTCTTCTGTCTCAGTGAGAGGGAAGCCAGGAGGGTCTGTAAGCTGGACAAGGGCCCTGTCTGTTTGAGGTGAAAGGGTTGTTCTGATTGCTGTGCTGAGACGTGGGGAGCTGGAGGGAAACAGAGAGCAGTGAGGAGGTGGCTGCAAAAGTCCCGCTGGGACAGAGGGTGGCGGCTGGTCAGGCAGCAGGCTGGTGCTCGGCTCTACCCTGGAGGGCACCCCTGTGCGATGGTGGCCCAGGGAGCTCCCGGGGAAGGTCTGGTGTGGTGGGACTCTGGCATTTGTGTGAGGTGGAGCGGGCAGCACAGGCTGATGAATGGATTTGGGGTGAAGGGCAGGTTGCCGGAAACCCTATGGCCTGCTGAGTCACGACGGTAGGATTTTCTATAATCTCCTAACGATATTCAGTTTTGCGGTTCACATTTAAGCCTTTAACCACCTGGAGTTGATTTCTGTGTTTAGTGTGGAGCAGGGAGTCATGTTTAATGCCTCCTTTGTGTGGATTACCTGTTGCCTCAGGCCCTCTGGCAGTGCGATGGCCGGCACCCATCAGGTTTCCTAAGAGCCCGGATCGTCTTCCAGGGGTTTCCTAAGAGCCCGGATCATCTTCCAGGCTCTCTCTTCTGCCCCTTGGTCTAATGTTACACTTCTTATTCCCAAGGTATTATTAGTAGCCTGATATCGGGTTGGGTAATCTCCCTCCCCCCATCCCTGTACCACCACCACCAGCAGCGTCTCGGCTCTGATTGTCAGTTTCCACGAAAAGCTCTGTTGAGCTTTTGTTGCAAGTACCTTGAATCTACAGCTCAGTTTAGGGGCCGATGTCAGTGCTACGAGAATGAGTTTTCCAACTCATGAATACGGTCTTCAGATCCATCCATTCAAACCTTCCTTCAATATCTGTCAATAACATTTTCTAATTTTTTAATCTATAAAGGTTATGCAGCTTTGGTTAGATTTATTTAGACGAGCATTTTTTTTTTTTGCTGTTTATTACAAATGGTATCTTTTTTAAGTCACCTTCTCTAACTTTCCTGCTTAGATGCACAGAGGTACTTTTAATTTCTGTGCACTAATCTTATATCCAGAAGCCTTACTCAGCTCACCTAGTAATTCTGGTAATTCGCTTATAGATTCTTTGGGGCTTCTTTTTAGTAATAACAACGGCTACGTTTATGCATAGCATGTGGCATGTGCCAGGCACTGCTTTATGTTAAATGTATTTTCAGTTGTACAAGAACTCTATAGAGTGAGTGCTATATTCCCTCCGCCCCCTTTTTTTAAGATAGAAAAAAATGAGGCGTGGAAAGCTAGACAACTTGCTGAAGGCCACGTCGCTAGGCATGGTCACCGCTGGGATCTGAACGGGCAGCCTGGGACCGAGTTTACATCATTCACCGCCAGGCTCGTCCTGCCTGTCTGCCATCTGTGCTGGTTTATTTCAAAACAAGTCCCAGGCCTCTTATTATTCATTGAATTTTAAATGATTGTATGTGTCATTTCTGAATTTCCATTTGCTTCTTTTGCTAACCTGTTCTTTCCGGCTACTTTCTTATTCTTTGCTTAGACTTTTATTCCCTCTCATGACTCCAAACATCAAATAGACTGATTTTGTATTCTGGGGCTGGTTATTCAAATATCCTTGCTATCTTTTGAGATTTGATCCCCCGTTTGATGTTCCTGCTGACTCCTTTTCGCGGTACCTTATTTCCTCGTGTGCATTTTAACTTTCCACATAGAGATACATTTTGTGACAATACAGGGGTTCATTGCCACACGCCATAGGCTTTGATCAATTTCCAATAATGTAATCTTCCCCATGCAAGATCATCTTCCTCCTTTAAATAGAGGAAGAGACCAAAGGTCTGAGAGGTTAAAAACGTGTCTGAGGCCACACTGTCCATAAATGATGGAGCTGGGGCTTGAACCCAGACCTGCCATCCTCTGCCTTACCCTCCCCACTCCCCTCTGCTCCCACAATCCACCCTCTAGGCCAGTGGTCGGCAAACTCATTAGTTAGTACGACGATTGAAATTTCTTTTGAGAGCCGAATTTTTTAAACTTAAACTATATAGGTAGGCACATTGTTATTAACTTAATTAGGGTATTCCTAAGGCTTAGGAAGAGCCACACCCAAGGGGCCAAAGAGCCGCCTGTGGCTTGCGAGCCGCAGTTTGCCGACCACGGCTCTAGGAGGAAACTCACACCCCAGGTATGAACCCCAGAGCACCCGACCCGAGTTGACTTGTGGCTTCTGGGGTTTCTTCCTGGGTCCCACAGGGGCCTCCGAGGAGATGAAGAGCCTCATGAAGGCCTCCTACACCCCCGATGTGATTGAGAAATCCGTGAGGGACATTGAGCACTGGCATGGCAGGAAGACGGACGACCTGGGTATGTGGGAGCTGGGGGGATGGGCTGGCCACAGGTGCAGAGAGAAACCCGATCAGCAGAGGGAGCCCTGGGTGCAGTGGGGGGCCTGGAAGAGTGTGGGCCACCAGGGGACCTGGGCCCTCGGCCCCCTGGGTGACCCGTGCTGGTTCCTGCCCTGTTCTGCAGGTCGGTGGCACCGGAAAAACGCCATGAACATGAACTTGCAGAAAGCACTGGAGGAGAAATACGGAGAAAAGAGCAAGGCCTCCAAGTACTAGACGCGACCCAAAGGGGCGCCCTCGACTCAAGAGAAAGTGCTAACGATAAAGCTAACAATAAAGACAAAGGCACAAGTCTAAACCCTTCTTCCCCTGTTCGGTGACTCTCTTCGTGTTGGGGTTGGGGCCGATGTGCGATGCTGGAGAGACCAACCGAGGGAGGACAGAAGCCCTGAGGGCCCTAGTTCTCCCCCAGACTGCTGCCTAGACACACACACACACACACACACACACACACACACACACACACCCCACAATTCCAGGAAAGGATGTGAGAGCGGAGGGGGACTCTGTCTCCAGGCCAGTGTGCCCGGTTCTCCCTCATGCCCTGTGTGGAGGGGTCCTATCGCGGACACTGGTGGGTGGATCTTACCTTCTATGCCCTCCCTGTTATTTCCAGACACCCATTCCTCCCCCATGTGCCCAAGGACTTCAGAGGAATTGGCCACATCCCCCTTCAATCCAGGGGTAGTTTTGATTGGTCTCATGGTAATTCTGACCCCTCCCCCTCCCCCTACAAAATGATGGGTTTAGAAATGGGCATGTGGCTCAGTTTGGCCAATGAGATGCACCTGACCTCCGTGACTCTTGACTGGAATCGAACCCAGGAAGGAAGGTTGTGTGTGTGTGTGTGTGTGTGTGTGTGTGTCTGTGTCCTTCTGGGAGATTCTTTTCTCTCCTAGGAGAGCTGGGGAGCGTCGCTCTCTCATGTGGTACTGAGTGAGAAACACTCCGCCAGACTGCTCCTGGCAGACACAATCCAGGTCCCGTGCAATCTTGGTCCTCCAGGGACCTCACTGAGCTGCTCCATCCCCCTGGCCAGCGGCCACCCACCTCTGGACTTCTGGTAATGTGAGCCTGGGCATCGGTTTAGAGAGCGAACCTTATTACCCTTCGCTGCTAAAGGGTCCCTGGTAGCAACAGGGCAGGGGCCTGGGAATGGGGAATCTGTCTGCAGAAGGCTGATGTGGAAGAAGCTGGCTCTGAGGCTCATGCATCCATCTGACGAACATGAACCTACCCTCTCTGCCCAGCCCTGACCAGTGAACTGGGGCCCCAGGGAAGAGGACCCCAGAGAAGGGGCTTCGGGCTAGACAGCCATGTCTACCTGCAGCGTATTACCTGCTGGGTCTCCAGGCCAGCAGCCCTCTTCCCCCCAGATCACTGACTTGCTCTCACGGAGCATGCTCTGCTCATGGGTTATTTGCTGTGTGTTTCAAACCACCCCAAAGCCCAGTGGCTTAAAAGAACAGCAATCATTTATTGCTCATGATGGTGCAATGTGGGCGGGGCTCAGGAGGTGTGCTTGCTTTGGGCTGCATGTGCCGCCTGCTGTGAAGATGGCTGCTGCTCTCCTACCAGGCGCCTCAGCTGGGATGAGCTCCGCAGCTGGGGCTGGCTGGCATCCCTGTCCCTGTGGCTGGCTTGGGCTTCTTCCTGGCACGGTGACTGGGTTCCCTGAAGGATCCTTCCCAGGGGACAAGAGTCAATGTGCAAGAGCTCATCATGCCTTGCACTGGCTTGTTAATGCGCCTGTGGTCTAAAGGTCATGTGGTTTAGCCCAGGCTTGTAGTGGGAGGAGACAGCCCTAGAGTATTCCTCGGGCAGGACTGGGTCCCTGGGGACCGCCGCAGTAACAGTCTGCCACGGGGGTGATCAAACCAGATCACCGCCAGGAGAGGGGGCTGCCCTTCTTCCCGCCGACAGAACGACTCCTCTAAGGTCGATGGGAGCAGGATGCTGAAGGGGGAGGTGAATTTGGCTTGACTTAATGTGTATTGAAGACCTATTTATGTGCAAGGTGCCGAGTTCAGCTCAACCTCCTCGCCGAGTACCTAATTTCTGCAAGACACTCTTCTTGTGCTGGAAAAACCAGAGTTTACTGAGTAGCTACTCATCACATATGGCAACTGAAAAAGATGAGCCATGTGAGCCCCACGTCCTGCGTGGTTCAGGGTTCGGGATCTGGAGAAGGGCCGCGCGCAAATGACAGAGATGAGATAAGAAATAATAATTTGGAAATACTGGGGGCCAGGCGGGAAGCCCAGTGCAAGGGAAAGGACTTCCACTGGTGCCCAGGCCTTGCCCACCTTTTATTCAATTTTGGATGCACATCTAGCCCTTAGTCAGGCAGGTAATTGTGGTAACAGATAGACTATCTTAAAGGTCAGTAAATATTAGGAGGATTTACTCTGAGACTATTTGGTCAGGAAATTGCTTGAGCCCCCATTGTCAGGACTAGACAATTGGTGCATAGCTCTGGCCCTTGCCATGGGTTCAAGGTTCACCAGCGTTCGGGCTCCTTGTTTACACTTCTCTGCTAGTGAAGACAATGGGTGGCTTCCCACAGAGCCACCAGAGTATTGTAGCCAAAGCAAACCCTGTACTGTTTGGATATAGAAATCATAATATGCCGTACTGTTTGGATGTAGAAATCATAACATGCCAAGTGTACACACACAATCTTTTCTCATCCTTACGCCAGTCCTCAAAGCTATTACCACCCTCTCTATGAAGATGAGAAAACGGAGGCTTGGAGAGGCCATGTAAATTGCCCAAGATTCTACCAATAGGGAACTAGGATCAAAAAGCCAGGAATCTCTGAGCAAAGCCATTTTCTCCACCACCAGGCAATCACACAGTCAGGGCAACAAATAGCCCTAGCCGGTTTGGCTCAGTGGATAGAGTGTCAGCCTGTGGACTGACGGGTCCTGGGTTTGATTCCAGTCAAGGGCACATGCCCAGGTTGTGGGCTCGATCCCCAGGAGGGGGCGTGCAGGAGGCAGCTGATCAAAGATATTCTCTCATCATGGGTGTTTCTCTCTCTCTCCCTCTCCCTTCCTCTCTGAAATCAATAAAAATATATTTAAAAAATACATACAGAGCTCCACAGACACTTGGCCCTGTGAGGCACTGTGGGGGACAGCGATATGAATCTACTGCAGTCCTTGTCCTCAAGGACCGGACAGTCTGCAGAAGACTGATGTGGAAGAAGCTGGCTCTGAGGCCCATCCATCCATCTGACAAACATGCACCTACCCTCTCTGCCCAGCCCTGACCAATGAACTGGGAGCCCTGAGATGAATAAGACACAGTACCGGTCCTCTGTGCGCCCAGAGTCTGGTGGGGCGGTACGTCAGTAAACGCAGGCTCGGAAGTTTTACATACAAGCGAGAAATGCATATGGGGCCAGTGGAAGCACAGAGGACCTGGGATGGGACAGGGGCTAGTAGCCATGGAGGGCCTCATAGAGGAGGTGGTTGTTGAGTTGAATCTTGGGACATGAGGAGACACATTCAGATGGGCTGGGAGAGGCATGGCATTCCAGAGAGAGGGCGCAGTGTGAACGAGCCCAGCATGCACATGTGGGGAGCTGTAGGGGTGGGAGTGTGTTAGGGCTCCAAGGTGGGGCACAGAGGTCAGGTGGGAAACGTAGAAAGAGAATCTGGCCTTGGAGGGGGCCGCGTGTGCCCGTGAGGGTCTCAGATGTGAGACCCGGCCTCTCCTCCAGGAGCTGACAGTCTGGCCGGAACACAAAGGGTTAGTGACGACGGAAGAAGCCACAGGGAAGAGTTGAAAAGCTGCTCAAGAGCCCCAATAATCGGAGAGCGCAAATTAAAACAATCAATCTGTTGGGTTGGCGCGCATTAAAATGCAAGTGTAGGTGAGAAGGCGGGAACTGGGAACTCGCGTACCCTCGGTGAGTTACGAGCGCAGAACAGCAAGGAAGGATTTAGCAAAATTGCAATGATATCTCAGAACTTAATATTCCACGTCCGTGTGGCCTAGAGACACGCAAACGCCATACGCGCCAGGAGCCCCGCGCCAAGGAGCCACTGCAGCTCTGTTCTCATCGCAGAGCAACGCGCATGCCTGTGAGCAGGGCAATGGACAGTGGGGAGGAATGGACCACATATACACACGCCAGCCCGGGAAGATCTCACAATATATCAGAGTGGGCGAAACGGCAGTCTGCAGAATGAGCCCTATGGTATGAGACGTGCCATTTGCACAACCTTTGAAAGGCACACACCCAGCCCTCCATCACTCCTGGATGCAGTTACGTGAGTATGGAGGTGGATTGGAAGGACGCTGCAGACATTCAACTTCACATTATAGTGAGTGAGCCCTTTTCAGACATCACTCCGCTTCCTGTAACTGCAAGAGAGCCGCCACAGCGCCCTCCACGGGAGCTCCAGGGCTGGGAAGGGGGCCAAGGAACTGGACGCCAGGATCGGGGCAATGCCAGTGCTGACACACGTGAACAAATGCTACCAGTGTCACCCCTGTGCCTCAGTGAGAGATTTCATCCTGGAACAGTAAGCGGAACCCTTTTAAATTAAGCCTCGAATACTTCGGAGCTGTAATTTTGGCAAAATAAAACATGCACAGATTTTTAAAACCTCAGTAAGGTCTTTTCTCTCTGACGCTGTTTCCAACGGCGTTCCTTGTTCATGCTCCTGAGGGCCCTAGATCAGTGGTTGGCAAACTCATTAGTCAACAGAGCCAAATATCAACAGTACAACGATTGAAATTTCTTTTGAGAGCCAAATTTTTAAAACTTAAACTATATAGGTAGGTACATTGTTATTAACTTAGTTAGGGTACTCCTAAGGCTTTGGAAGAGCCACACTCAAGGGGCCAAAGAGCCGAATGTGGCTACAGAGTCGCAGTTTGCCGACCACTGCCCTAGATAAGTTTCAAGGAGCTACAGGGACCAGATCTTAAGAAGCATGAATTCACAGAGAGAAGACATCACTCGCCCTTCAGTTCATGCAGGGCCTCCTTTGCTCATAGTGACTCAGAAATGGCTTCCTAATTTCTATAACATCCAAGCACCACTTGAGGGAGAATCCCCCAGTTGACATGCCCCACGTGGTGGTCTTCCTACTCCAGCTCGCCCCCTGGTGGCAGTGCAGGCTTAGGTCTCTCAATTGCAGGCCGAGTGCTTAGGTCTCATAGATCCATGCAAAGGAAGGAGCCTAGAGACCATTTAGTTA